CTGCGTGGAAAGCAAGGTACGAGTTCAGCTGACTTCACCTCCACCTCTGGGAGCGTGAGCAAGTGGGGCAAATCAAAGATTGTGAGGGAGAGGAGAGAGATCTGGTAAGGCTTTTGGTTGAAGTAGGAACAACTGGGACAAGGAGGCAGGAGTGTGGGGAGGAGGAGGAGTGAGCTTAAGAAGAGGGAAATTGGTACTGGCAGCAAGTCAAGTGGTGAGAGGGAACAACAACGGAAGGCAGTGATTGGAGGCCACAGTGGGAGAGAAGTCAGACTCGATAAAAATTTGGAAAGAGGGGAGACCAGAAAAGACTAGAAAGGGAGAATGGGACTGAAAATTATCATGTAATGAAAGACCATCACAAAACAAATACTCAAGAGGGCTAAATTAAAGCTGCACAGGAAACCTTAGGTCTGTAATTGCCTAACTTTTGAGCTCTTGGTTAGCTAACTACATTAATGTATATGGGGAAAAGGGTATATACATAACAATACACAGATTTAATAATTAGAAAATAGAAGATTAAAAAGTGTTACATACTAGTTATTGCTGTACCAATGTAATACATTTCAGTCAAGGTGTCTACTATCTGTTTCAGGTTTCGGACACATCCCACTGCCAATGCAACCAGCAGCTCAAAACCAGCATTAATGGTAGCTGGTGAACTACAGACTGGTATGGCCTGCTCAGCAGGCAATTCTCCATTTCTCATGTATTGTAAATAAACATTAGAAGATGGAAAGATGAAATCATCTATCAATTCCTGAAAAACAGAAAATAAATTAATCTGTTACTATAAAGAAGTCAAGTATTGTTCAACAGACTGGAAAGCATTAAGACACATTTATAAAACCGAGAAACCTTGAAAATGAAATGTAATAACATTTTATGAACAGCATTATTCCTTCCTAAAAAGTTAAAAAAAAAAATAATTGGAAACTTCTGTCAGTGGATCAGTACAGAAACTTGCTTAATCAGAGTATTATTTTGGAAGGCTACAATTCTAGCAGCAATAGAGGTATTTTTGTGGTTTCATCCTGTACAATGAGAATTTTCTCCTCCATGTTACTGACTGAAAAGCAAAGAAAAAAAAATTGTAAATCAGAACAAGAACTTACTTTAATGAGATTAGCACCTCCCTTTTCACAACCAATATGGTATTTCTTTTCAGGGGTTTGGAATGACAATAATTCTTTTGTTACTCCAAGGTGGCCTTCTAAGATAGTCTCTTCAACGCCAGTTTCTCCTGTTCTTTTCACTTCATCCTAACATTTATAAGAAAGTTGGGAGACTTTAAATTACATATATTTTTGTGTAATTTACAGCCATGTTTTCATAGGAAATATCTGAAAAGCAGTTACATTAATTTTACTGATATTATAAAACTTACCCTGATCCTTTTAAGCCAGTCAATTTCATTATTAAGTAGAACTTCAGCATTGGGCACATTAATATTACTGTTGTAAGCATAGTTGAGAAGATGTCTTAACAGAGTGAAGTAGTCTCCTGAATGTTTAGCTCGCTCTCTTGCAGTACTCTATAATCCAAAGATATAAGCATTTTTAATTTATAAATGACTTCCTTTTTAAGCAAAACTACAACACCAAGACATCTTTTCCTACAGGAGAACAGGTAATATGAAAGATTAAAATATAAAGATTTAATTAAACATTTAAAAACATCAGGATTTTAAAAAAGATTAACAGCAGTGTTTCAACTTAAATGAATTAAAGGTTTGTTTTTAAACTACATTAAAAATAGTAGATTCTTTTACTAACTAGCAAGGATTAGAGATTGAATATTTAATAGAGAGCCATTAACAACACAACGTTTAAAAGTCCTGGCAGTTACAGTAAATAAAGACTGAACCACTTCTCAAAAACAAGTATTCATTCTTTAAGTGTACCTATCAAACCACTGAACTTTTTTAATACTACAGTTTACCATTCCATTTTAAGATAAAACTGCTTCTTAAAAATATACTTCTTACATGAATTCTTGGTTAAAAATTTTACTCTCTTTGCTTGGATCTCCAAATTCAGAGCAAATTAAATTGAAGCTGACCTGTAACAAGACCCATAGTAGTATAATCCATGGGGGAGGGGAAGAAGTGTACTACATGAAGTAATTGCTTTATACATGGAAATAATTTTCCTTTTATTGAAATCATTTCTGTCCTATCAATCACTTCTAATAGAAGAGTAGTTTTCAAACGTTTTCATGTGAAGACCCCTAAATAATTTTGAATGGAGGTGTGGACCCCTTTGAATTGTATGTGTGGATATTCACATACTTCTGACTGATCACAGTCATCTTTCGTGGACCCCTTAGACAGTCTGCGGACCCCCAGGGATCAATGGACCACAGGTTGAAAACCACTGTTATACAACAATGGTGCTCAGCCTCCAGACTGGCAATTAACATTACCATATTTCTAGATCCATGGGAACCCTGTGGGCTGGATAACAAGGCGTCATGTGCCAGACTGTGCTGGCACAAAAGGGTTGCTTCGTGGGTGGATCTGGCCTACGAAATAGCTTCACTCCTGGGATTCAGCTTGCAAGGCCAGAAGGTTGAACACCAGTGTTATAGAACATCAGACTGTAAATGAACATTTTGATTACTCTGGTACAGTGCCTTACCCCTAATACAGTAAACAGCAGAGTAATGAAGAAAAGTAGAGGTCTGTGTCCCATGCAACACCTGGTAGCCATTAAAAAGAACTGCTCCTGTGCCATCTGACGAACAGTTCTGAAAATTTTCAAAACACATTAAATATAAAAGTTTCCTCATAATATACAGAAACAGTACAATACTGAGAGATGAAGTACCCTTAAAAGCAATGCTGGTCTGTTCACAAAAGAGGTAGTAAAACAACATATATATATATAAAAAAAAAAAGTAATTTTTTGTGAAAATTTAAGAAAAAGCAGCGACTCCAATTGTTGCTGTCCCGCATGTTTTCCCTTCCGACTCATTCATTTGTAAGTCATTTTGTAAGTCATTTTATATACACTTATTAATACACAACTTTGTTTAATTCAAGTTTAGCAAATATCTGAATACTGTCTTTCAGCATGCAACAAGGATCACAGCCTATAACTACTATACCATGATGCATTATATACGTGATTAAATTAGGTAAAACGATGCAATGAATATGTAATTTTTACAAGAACTGAAACTTTAATAAGTAGCTTACCACGGGAAGCAAACGTCTGCCTTGCCTCTAACATCTGGTTCCGAATGTTTTTGTGAAGGTTTTGAATAAGGAAATTAGGGGAGTTTACAAGACAAAACTTTGTTACCAAATTCCATTATGAACTCAGGAGTTACCTCCCTTTAGACTACAGGAGGTAGTTTATACTTATCCACAACACTTCAGAGGGTTAACTGTTCTTGGTGTACCCCGATAGGTGGGTTGAGTCTCCAGTCACCTTATTAAAAGTTAATTTCCTAATGCTTATGGAGCTGCAGTGTGATGTAGTGGACAGAGCACTGATGCAAACAGAAGAGACCTCAGTTATGTTCTTGGCTCAAGCACTGGCCTGCTAAGCAACCTAGGACAAACCACTTTACTTCCACGCACCTCAGTTTCCTCATCTATAACACAGTGATAATGACATCTCTTTTGTAAAGTAATTTGAGATGCACTGATGAAAAGTACTAATTTCTTGTTGGTATTATTTGTACCAAACAAATATAAATATGGAAGAGGCAAATAACTCGGATTGAATGGAATTTGAGAGATGTCAAATCTCAGGAAATAACTCAGTAGCAAATTATCCATTCTGAATTTTAACCTTTCCTAGTTATCTTGTATTGGGGAATGCAGTGCAGTAAAGGAGGGGAGGGGGAGTCTGTCTGAAGACAAAAGATATTTTCTTAAAGTCCATACGGTTAAAAATTGAGACCACCCTCCTAGGCTAAGTATGGACAGTCAAAAAGCCCAAGGTTGGACCAATTCAATCTTCGCAGATTAATCCAAGCTGCGAAGACTGAATGGAAAAGCAAGAGAACAGATATTTACTTTTGATTCCAAAAATACAGCCACATGCTTGCAGTGGCCCAGGCCAGAGGCTGAGGGGTGCTAGAGCATGTCTTCCTCCTCAGCTGGAGCAGACACCTTGGGCCAAGGCTAGCCTACCCACCCTGCAAAGGGGGGATTTGTGGGGAAGGTACAAAGCATCATGGGATACTGGGGGGCTGTAAGTTGACTTGAATCTGGAGGAGATCTGGGACAGAAGTTCAATAAATGGATTTAACTTAAATCAGTTAACCTAACCTACATCCATCCAGGTTTATCTAAAACTGGCTTTGGCCATTTTGAAAGCAGTTTATATGCACTGAACTTCTGTTGTGTTACACATTTGAAATGGTTTCCAATCAGTTATACCAGTTTATGTGTAATTTCTGTCCCTAGCCCTGAAGTACCTTCCAGTCAGGGTCAGTTTCCCCCTGGGCATGAAAATCAGGTTCATTGTACTTTATGAGAGTCTGGATAGATGACAAGATGGCAACTATACAAATTTTCCTTGTTGTATTTGGCATCTTGTCTGCCCAGGAGGCCCACCATGGAACACACAAAGTGGAGTCTAATTTGTTTTGAAAAAAGTTGATTAGTGGCTGAACATACAGGATTAGATTCACTCAGATTTTTAAAAAATAGATTTTTTTCATGCCTTGGAATTTAAAGGTGGGTGGAAATATATTAGGATGGTAATAAGGATAAGGGTGATGTTTTCTTGAACTGCTGCTCAGTTACTTCTCAGCACTAAAAATATACTGCATGTTATGCTTACACAAGATGTTTATGCAAACAACATAATTAATGCTAAGTGTCATGTGTCAGTTCTTGCAGAAATGAGTGGTTATCAGCTACAATTAAAGCATGCTTTGTCTTTACAAAATTATATCATTCATAGTGATAGGAAACCATCCACATTTTGTTGCTTTTAATTCCCCTACCTGACGTCAGAATACTGCCTACATTACGAAAGCCAAACAAATTAAGCCAGATTAAGTCTCCTGACTAATGCTCACAGGGATGAAAAATCCAGTTGAGGGGTGCCCAGATGGTGATTCACAGAAACCCTCCAACTTTCACATAAAATGTGAAGATCAAAAGCATTCAATAATAGTTCATAAATTCCTTGGTTTACGATGTTCAACCATATAATATGGCAATTCTCTTCTTCACTGCCTAGTTCCATTTTAGGACTGACATCTGAGATGACACAGTAGGGATTAAGGCATCATAAATTAAATCATCCAAAAAGCTGATTTAGTAGCGTCAGTCTGCTAAAGAAGCAAGGGGATGATACAAATCTGACCACCTCTAACTTAACCAAATCCGTGCTAATCTGAATGTACTTCTACATCACTGGCAATGTAATTTGAGATTTGTTTTCTGGACTTCTGACCAAAAAATACATTCTCTCTGTAAAAACGCATACTAGTAAAGTATCTGCAACAAAGTAAAATGTAAGAGGGCATTGAATACCAGGAGACTGCCAATTATACCAAACAGATAACAACCTTGGGACTATTTTCTATATTAGCCTGCCACAGAGATACAGGGCATTATTTGAGTTTGTACAGTTTGTGCACATCTTTTTAGCAGAACATACATCTGAAATCTCTCTGCAGTGAACCAGAAGTTCAGTACTGACCCCTTCTTGAACATCTTTACACAGTGCTTTATTGTAATCCAACTTTGGTGTGTAATGTATGTAGACTTGGAACCAAAAAAAGGAGCCTGGTAGTTTAAGGCAGGCAGCTTTAGAAATAATTTTTTAATTCACAAACTGAACTGTGCCGTTGATTTAAATAAAATACAAGGGAACGGTGGAATTCATTTCTCATCCAAAATTTACTAGAATAAATAAAGTAGAAAACAAATGTAACTGAATTTGTTCCTATACTAAAAACCATGCAAACTAATTTAACTTAAGCAAGGATTTCAAGGTTTTGTGAAGATAAAGGTATAATATTCAGTATCACAGCATTCCAGAAACATCAATATTTTACTACTAAATGGTAACTAATATTACTATGGCTGATAAACTAATACAGAGTAAAAAAGGCATTTACCATTTTGTTGAGCCAGACATTTAAACTAATCCTGGATGACAGTATTAGGACAAAGGCATTTGTTGCTCTTTCCTTATGCTGAATTTTTCATCTCTATACCTCAGAATAGGTCCCCCAAATTATAAAATTATATTGATAACCAGTTTATTGTGGCATATGAATAATAACCAAAACATCTACTTTAAAACTTTAGATTAGTATGCACTGTGTTTTGAATATGTAAAAATGTTATAACAAGTGATTTGTTATTTTGGAATACTTACTTGCTGTGACAATGCAACAGTAAGTCAATGATAAATGTCTGCCATGCCTTTTCTTTACTAAGTGCATCCAATGCCGTTGGAATCAAAGCAAAACACAGGGTCATCACCTCCAGTGCTTCACAGCAAACTTGTTCATCTTCCATGTCAGGTTCATTGCCTGCATTTGTCTGTAAATTAACAAATCGAGTAACACAAAAAATGAATACAGAGACACAGAACACTTCAATTCACTACCAGTTGCACACTTCAAATGAACATACAAAGCACGTACCACGAATTTGTACACTAATGCCTATTTAAACCTATAATGGAAATGTTCATATATATAGAGTCAGTTCTTCCTCCCCCAAAACTCTGTCCATTCATGCATTTCATCATACCTTAAATTAATAGGTTGTCTGAGGTAGGGGCTGTCTTATAACACTTAAAGTAATGTTCTGATCTGATTAAGGCCTGAAAGTGCTACTAATATCAGGGATCCTGGTTTTCTCCATTTAAAAATCCCAAATTCTCAGATTAAAGCCCCCAACATCTGCATTTTACTGCAATTAGAGTGAAACAACACACTATATATCTATCTATAGAGGTGTGTGTGAGTGTCAGTTGAACACAAAGTTTTATTGATATATTTACAATTTTAAAGCAATTTGGAAGCCTACCTGTGCCTCAGATCATTATAATGAAATAAATTCTAATTACCTGTATATTTTAGAGTTTGATTTTATTATGGAAAATCAGAGCTTCCCTTGCCCCCTTTGCTCACAAGGACACAGGTCCAGCAGTGGCTGCCCCTTCCCCCACTGTTTTGTGACACTAAGCAGCCCTGATATGCTGGTGCCCTGCTCCTGCCCATACCATTGTCCCTCACTTCCAAACCATAGCTCCCCCTATATCCTTGCCAGTACTTCTCACTCCCAACCCACAGGCCCCTGCCCTGCCCTGCCCCACCCCACCCCCTAGCCCTGCCAGAAGAGGCACACAGCTGCCTCCTGCAAACTCAAAGGATTCCAGCGGGGGAAAGGGGGGGCGGTCCTTTAGGGGCAGTGGGGGGCTGTGTGGCTGAGCTGCTGTTGCCTATGCTCTTTGGGGCAGGGAGGGGTGGCAGCTACATGAGACCAGGAGATGCTGCCCAGGTAGGGGACAGAGAGGGCTGTGTCCAGGCTGCATGGTGCAGTGTAGCACATGAGCCCCGGCCTGGAGGAGCAGTGCGCCACTGGCACCCCTCCTCCTCCCTCCAGTCTGCACCAGGCTGGATTTGGTCCGCCACTGCCTGCATGAGTGGGAGCCACTGCGGGCAGGGCAAAGACTGCCTAGAGCCCCTTGCCCTCCTCCAGCTGCCCAAAGCACGGCTCAGGCTATAGCCATGCTCAACTTCATGTTGCTGTGCCAGTCCCCTCCACCACACCCCAGCCCCAGCCCACTGCACAGGACAGTGTGTGGTGCCCCAGCTGTTGCCTGTGCTTCTGGCCATGCAGCTCCACAACATCCCTGAAAGCCCCTCTCTGCTCCCTTCCCCTACTGGATGGGCAGAAACCTACAGGCAGGCCCTGCTGGCAACAACGCTGAGCTGGGCTTGCCAGGGACACTGAACACTGCTCCAATTCCCCTGCCCCGCTGCAGCCCCAGCACCCAGACACCTTCCCCAAGCACAAGCAGGTACCCCCCCCCCCCC